CACCCTCAAGCTGAGCGACAGGCACGCCGCCCATCTCCAGCAGGAACTAACACGCACACAACGACGCGTCGAGCAGCTAGAACTGCAGGCTCAAGAACGACGGGAAGGGCCTGATGAAATGGAGCAAGGCGCCGAGGAGGAGATCACTAGGCTAAAAGAGACCCTAGCAGCTGCTAACCAAGAAATGGAACGAGGCAAGGCTGACTACGCTGATCTCTCCAACAAGCTACAATATGCAGAACAGCTCCTGGAAAAGGCAAAGGCCGACTTCAGAGACAAGAACGGCCGAATTAAAACCCTTGAAACTCACCTGGATGAGTCAAGAAACGAGATCAGTCGCCTAACACTACAGCTGGACTACATCAAAGAGAAGTCCGACAGCATCAGAGAGGAACTCAGACATGCCTACGAGCTGCACCCTGAGCCTACAAGGACACGACGGGCACCCGTCTCACCCCTGCCAAGCAGGACCGGGTCACCTGTTCCGCGACTGACGCGTGAGCAAAAGGGGGAGGGGGCAGTGCTGAAACATTCACCGACTCCCTCTGAAGAACCTTACCTCACGACAAAGCTAAGAGAACTTGCTCCAGCCAGCCACAGAGCATCACATGGCTTGGACCTCAAAGACCTCGACAAGCTCGCCAGAAACATTGGCAAATTCACCCCAAGTGTGCCAGGTAGCCAGGATGTCCAAGCTTATCTGCAAGACGTCGATTTCCATCTGGAAATGAGGCTCAATGTCACGGACAAAGATAGACTCTATTTGCTCCGAACAACAGCCAGCCCTGACGTACGCATTGCTCCGAACGACATCCAGCCCCGAAGCGTGCAGCTTCCTGGACCGGCAGCCTGCTCACACAAAAACTAATTACCACCTGCTCAGAGAAGCCCTCATTAAAGAATTCGCCGACCCTGAGTCAGAACAAGGACTAGTGGCTGCCCTGGAGACGAGACAAGGACGTCATGAATCTCCTCAAGCCTACTACAGCCGACTCAGACGAGCATACTTCGGAACTCGCAACGAACCGAACATGGAAGATGATCTAAACTTCAAAACTCTCTTCCTGAGAAACCTCCATCCTGGAGTAAGCCACCATCTGGGCGTTCTCGCATGTCCGCGAACAATGAATGCTCAACAGTTGCGAGACTTGGCACAGAAAGCCTACGGCAAACAAAAGATGGCCTCAGAAAAGGGCGCCAAAACCCCAACAGTTCTTGACTTCAACACTCAAAGTCAAGGTCTGGCTCTAGAGGGCGCCCAACATCAAGACCATGCCAAGCCGCCACACAAAGAGTGGAACACACCCTCGTCCCGATCTGAACTTCAAAACTCTCTTCTTGAGAAACCTCCATCCTGGAGTAAGCCACCATCTTGACGTCCTCGCATGTCCGCGAACAATGAATGCTCAACAGTTGCGAGA